AATGTAAACCCGAATGATTCTAGTTTTAGGTCTTGTGTTAGTTCTAGTGATTGTGTTAGTGTAAAACTAGAACTAACACTAGACCTCGAACTAGAAAGTTTCGGGTTTAGCCGTGCGTCTTCAGACTTTCTAGTTCGAGGTCTAGTGTTAGTTCTAGTTTTAGTTCAGTGAAAAGTACCTATACAACAAACTAGCACTGAATAACAACTAAAACTAGAACTTCCACAAACATTAGAACTAACACTAAATCTAGAACTAAAATCATTCGGGTTTAGCCGTCTAAAGAGACGTTTGGCTAAACACGAATGTTTCTAGTTCTAGGACTAGTGGTAGTTCTAGTTTCAGTTCAATATAAATATATAACAATTAAACGCTGAACAGCAATTAATAATAATAATAATAGGTTCTTCCAATACCATCTAGTTTTCTATCTAAAATGCCTACTCTGCTGCCAGCAGTATCTAATCTTCTGTAAACAGGAGATAGACTTGAGCAACTATAATGTAATCTCCTATATGTAGTATCTAATCTTCTAGAAGTAGTAGAAACCTTCTGCAAACCATCTAATTCTTCGCCAATGGCAGTATATAATCTTCTGGAGTCAGCATCTTGTCTTCTAGAGTCACTATCTAGCTTTCTAGAAGCAGTAGATAGTCTTTTACAACCAGTATCTAATCTTCTGTTTACAGTATCTACTCTTCCATTAATAATATCTAGTCTTCTACTGGCAGTATGTAGACTTTTGCGCACAATATGTCGTTTTCCACTAGCAATTTAATCCTTTTCAAGAAATAAGTAGCCTTTTATAAACAATAAGTAGACTCGTGCCAATAGCATCTAGTTTTCAAAGTTTCTAAGCAAGCAATAGATAGCCTTTTGAAACACGTATGTAATCTTCTGATTGCTTCAGTCTTCGATTAGTTGTGTCTAGTCCTCAATCAGCAGTATATAATCTTCTGGAACCACTATCCTGTCTTCTACAACCAATATTTGGTCTTCTATTTGCAGTATCTAGTTTTCCATTAATAATATCTAGTCTTCTACCAATAGTATGTAGAGTTTTGCAAGCTGTGTCTTGTTTTCCACCAGCAGTATCTAATCGTCAATAATTCCTGCGACATGAATCATTAATTTTCTCAATATTGTCGTCCTCGAAGAATGTCATAAGCTTTTTCAAAAGTATTCAAAGATGTACGTTATTGCCATGCAGAGGCAGATTTTCAAATTTATTTCAGAAATAAGTCCGATTGAATTCATATCAATCATGTCTAGAGAGTAGTAGCTTTCAAATTTTGACCTAAATGTGTCAAACGAATATGGCACCTTCCAGTATTGACTTCGATTAAGAGTATTTTGTCTTCTGCCTAAATCTTCTTATCTGCTGAAAGCAGTATCTAGTCCACAAGCAAATAGCCTTCAGCAAATAGTGCCTGATCTTCCTTCAGTCTTCCATTAGCAGTATGTAGTCCTGTATTAGTAACAGTATCTAATTTTCTGGATGCAGTATTATTCAGTCTTCCATTAGCAATATCTAAAGTTCGATCAGCCGTTTTTCAGTAATAATAAGTAACCTTTTGCAAATAAAAATAATGGGTTCTGCCAATACCATCTAGTTTTCTATCTAAAGTGCCTACTCTGCTGTCAGCAGTATCTAATCTTCTGTAAACAGGAGATAGTCTTGAGCAACTATAATCTAATCTCTTATATGTAGTATTTAATCTTCTACAAGTAGTATTAACCCTCTGTAAACCGTCTAATCTTCCACCAAGGGCAGTATATAATCTTCTGGTATCAGTATCTAGTCTTCTAGAGTCACTATCTAGCCTTCTAGAAGCAGTAGATAATCTTCTACAACCAGTATCTAATCTTCTGTTTACAGTATCTACTCTTCCATTAATAATATCTAGTTTTTTACTGTCAGTATGTAGACTTTTGCGCATAATATGTCGTTTTCCACCAGCAATCTAATCCTCTTCAAGAAATAAGTAGCCTTCAACAAACAACAAGTAGACTTGTGCCAATAGCATCTAATTCTGATTGCTTTAGTCTTCGATTAGTAGTATCTAGTCCTCTGTCAGCAGTATATAATCTTCTGCAATCACTATTATGTCTTCTAAAACAAATATTTGTCTTCTATTTGCAGTATCTAGTCTTCCATTAATAATATCTATCTTCTACCAATAGTATGTAGAGTTTTTCAAGCTGTGTCTTGTTTTCCACCAGCAGTATCTAATCGTGTGTAAGCGATAAGTTGTCTTCTGCAAACATTGAGTAGTTACAAACAATAACCCTGCTGTTACCAGTATCTAGTCTTCTGCAAACAGTAGATTATCTTGATCAAGCAGTGAATAGTCTTAAGTAAGCAATATCTAATCTTCTACCAGCAGTTTCAAGATATTTCGAAAGTTCTCTTAGACCTTATGGTTTTGGCAATGACGGAAAATCAGGATTTAGTTTCTGTACAAGTAGGTAATAACATTTCTGTACATTTAAAGGAAGAAAAAGAATTAACTGATATGGAAGTCTCTCTGCATCGCACTAGAAGCTTACTAGGTGAAAAAATAATCAGATTAAGACACTTAGAGCAATCGTTACAAAGAGCATCGGTTACTGATGATCAAAGTAAAGCCGAAGATGTGACTTTAAGTGATTTATCTTCGCATAGTGCTAGTTCTGGGATCAGTTCGACCGAATTCGCGATGGCCGACGCTTCAACAAATAGACCAACGTCGTTTAGATACGAAAATTTTCAAGAATCATCGGAAATCATACAAAGTTTAGAAAATTTAAACTCTGAAATAAGGGAAATTTGGGAAGTATTACATAAACAACAGCAATCCGGAAATATAAATCAAGGTAAGATCATCAAAAACAATTTTGTTCCTCCAACTTAGTTTTCTTTTCTTTCTATTTTTGTTTTGGACTCCAAGTTTTCCCATCCTTATCGTTAGTCTACCCAGACTTGGGATGGCCTGTTTTGGCAGGATCAGCACCACCGGTTCCAGCGCCACCATCAATTCCAACGTTAGCTGATCGTCTTCATAATTATCGGCAGCACGTTGCTTTGGCAAACGCTCAAAGTACGATGGTGACGCATGCAACTCAAGGAGCAACAACCACTTTGGTGGAGAGAACGAGGAATTTAAGACATTGGTTAAGACAAACTGGAATGGACTCGAGCAGTGACAACAATCCACCGCAAGCAACGCTTTAATAAGTTTAATTTATTACTAATTCTTATTGAAAATATTTAAAATAAGTACTTATTTATTGAGGAATGTTGAAAGAACTGATATTATAATGGGATATTGTTAGATAGTTCTTAAAAAATAAAATTATTAAAATAATCCTCTAAAAAAATCTAAAGATGAGATGAATAATATTAATAATATCAAGATTAGGCTTTTAAATTCTATAAAAAGATATACAAATTTGGAGGTAGATCGTACGAAAATAATTTAATCAAAGTTGAAGCCAAGTTTATTCTTCTCTAAGAAAACTATACTAAAACAACTATTTAAAAAAAAACTAAAAGTCTGATCTTTAGATATGTCAGCCACTTAACAAGATGATTAGGTGATGATACAGGTACTATTTGTACGTAATTTTTACCTATTCTTATTTAATTTTTGTTTTAAATATAGTTTATAAAAAAAAATAAATAACAAAGAAATTAAGAAGCTAAAAATAGCCATTTCATATAGGGTGAGCCAGAATATACCGTACTGTTCACCGGGAATTCGCCGAAACACTATTCAGGAAAAAAATTTTAATCTAGCGTTGAATAACATCTAAAACTAGAGCTAACACTATCACTAAAACTAACACTAGACCTAGAACTAGAATCATTCGAGTTTAACCGTCTTAAGAGACGTACGGCTAAACCAGAATGTTTTTAGTTCTAGGTCTACTTTTTGTTGTTAACTAACACTAGACCTACAACTAAAAACATTTGGGTTTAGCCGTACGTCTCTTAAGACGGCGAAACCCGAGTGATTCTAGTATTAGTTCTAGTGCTAGTGTTAGCTCTAGTTTTAATTATTAGTAAGCGCTATGACTTAAAAATATTTTGTGCGTTATATCCAAACTCCGTTTTATTGCTTATCCCCCGATTTACACGAAAGATAGGTTCTGCACAAAACCGTTTAAATTGAAATCTTGGATTTTGCTAAGTAAAATCGTGTAAAACGAAAAAACTCCAAACTGTACAGGGTGGTTCAAATTCGATGTCCGAATAGGCTAACTCGGAAACTATAAGAGTTAGAAAAAAAAGTATCTGACATTCATGATCTCGTTTTTCGAGAAACTGCTAATGCCGAAAACATTAAAGCGCTATCGTCTTTTGTTTTTCCCCTAGAGGCCAAAATTGAAAATATCGTAAAACCAACAAGTGCAATTATCTTGGTTATTATTATAGGTGGAGTATTATATTATAACTAAGACATTATAGGGACACTATTTTACAGAGAATTTCATGACGTAGTCAAAAAAAATTTTTTCGGGTTTAGATTTTGAGATAAGACAATTTTGGTTTTTTTAAATGGAAACTACCACCGATTATTCGGTTATTAAATTCGTTACTTTTTTCTTATTACAAAAATATAGGGTTTGACAGGTCTATTTCTTATTGTTTTAGAATAAAGCTAAAAATAAACTTTTTTTTAGTGTCGTCAAAGAAATTAAATTTACAGTTTCCTGTAAATTATAACTAAAAATTAAAAAAAAACATTTATATTTGTTTTACACAAAACTTGGAATAGATTGCATTATTTCACATTTTTTATTAATATTTAATATTATTATTAAATGACTTAATAAATTATTGATAGATGGCGCTCATATATTTTTTTTAATTCAAATAAACATAGCAACATTTGTTTGTATTCAAAAATTTTCTGAAGTGTCACTTTAAAAATCCTGTTTTTAAGATCAATTACGAAAATTTTGAAAAGTTTGACATGTTAGAATGTTACATATTAAAAAATTATTTGTTTTTAAATACCAGAAGTTATCTTCGTATTTAATTGTTAACTTTTTAGATTTTACCTACCGCCCCGTAACTTACAGGAAACTGTAAATTTAATTTCCTCGACGACACTAGATGGAAATTTTATAAAAAAAGTTTATTTTTAGCTTTATTCTAAAACAATAAGAAATAGACCTATCTAACCCCATATTTTTGTAATCAGAAAAAAATAACGAATTTAATAAGCGAATAATCAGTGGTTGCTTTTATTTAAAAAAACGAAAATTGACATAATATCTCAAAATCTAAAACCGAAAATTTTTTTTTGACTACGTCATCAAATTCTCTGTAAAAAAGTGTCCATATAATGTCTTAGTTATAATATTCCACCTATAATAATAACCAAGATAATTGCACTTGCTGGTTTTACGATATTTTCAATTTTGGCCTCTAGGGGAAAAACAAAAGACGCTAGCGCTTTGAGGTTTTTGGCATTAGCAGTTTCTCGAAAAACGAGATCATAACATGTAAGCTACTTTTTTTCTAACTCTTATAGTTTCCGAGATAGCCTATTCGGACATAGAATTTGAACCACCCTGTACATGATTCAGTCATTTATTTAAGTAAAATAAAAATAAGACATCTTGGAAAACTCAAAATTCTACTTTGTTCACAAAACAACAAATGTATGAAAGTAATATAAGTACATATTTAATTTATTTTACGTTAGGAACAAAAAAATTAAAAAAGAAAAAGATCCTTGAAAATAATAATTTAGGTTTTTTTTTCTGATAGGTATGATGTCACTCTCATTACTTGAACTTTCTTGATGCGATTCTGGCTCAATAGTTGACGAATTAGGAAAAATCTTGGGTTGTGAAGACTTTGTCATGAAATCCGTAATTAACTTTATAAACTTCTTCATATTAATTTAAGCATTTACGAAAGTCTCGCTGGATTAGGAAAGCTAGACCAACATTTGTGTCGTATTGCATGAAAGGGTTGCCCAATTTTCTTCCCAATTCAAGTCCTACGCTTATGATTCTTGCTGTGAACGCAACTGGTTCAGATTGTTCTTCATTATCTTCACCATGTTTGTTTGTTTCATGAATCATGTTAATTAAATCATCTTCATTCAGTTCCTCATCAGCTATTATTTCTTCAATATCTGCCTCAGCTATATTTTCAAAACTTTCTCCTCCTATGGAATGGGCCAACTCAGTGCTCTGCAAATATTGATGCTCTATAGATGATTTATAATTTTCACTTTCAACAACATCGGGCCATACTGCTTTCCAGCAGACATTGATCATTGATTGATGTGAGTGTATAAAAATCCAACATGCAACACAATTTAAAATTGTAAATTTCTCCCAAGCATCCATCAGAGTAAGAGATTCATCATTCTCCATTTGATCTAAGATAAACTTCAAAGTTTGCTTGATATACAGTGCTTTAAAAGTTGAAATGTTGCCTTAATTTAATAACAGCTGTAATAAGGACCAGCTAGTATTCTTCAGTAAAAAAACAACCTTTATCAATTAATAGAAGAGTCTTAAACGCAATCCCTTATTAGTTCATTGAATTCATTGAAAGCTATGGCTTTTTTATTAACCATCCACAATATATGGGAAGATTTTTTATGTATATTATTTTGAATGAGCGTGATGATTGATTTGTTAATCACCAATGGTTTCATCATACAATCGCCTGAAGCATTGCAACAGAAAAGAGATGTTATACGACTTTTCGCTACTTTTTGATCACTAGCTGATTTGTGAGCTTTCGCCATGAAGGTTCTTTCTGGCACTTTTTTCCATAGTAATCCAGACTCGTCAGCATTGAAAACCTGATGAGTAGTGATTTTAATGATTTCAGCAACTTTTGCCAGATGTTGTTGTGCTCTAACCGAATTCTCACCTTTCATTCTCAGATTATGTAAAGAATGTCTTTGTTTAAATCTCTCAACCACCCATGACTTGTGGAAAAAGAAATCTTCTTTTCACCGGATGAAATCGACGGCGACTAATTCTGAAGTGATTGATAAATCTTTATTTGTAGCAGCATCGATCGGGATTATACTAACGCTTTTTCAATATTTTCCATTGTAACATCTCTAATGTATGAAATCGTACTCATACTAGTTCAGGTTCCAGCTGCTACACTTTTTATGATAGAGTCTTCATTAATGGAGTAAAATTTAACAATAATATAAGCATTGAAAAAAAGGTGATTGGCAATATGTACTTGCACGAACCAAATGGCTTTACTGTTGTGAAATACATTCGTACAGATTACCGGGATTCCCCTAAATGTATATATTTTACAACCCCGGGAATCCCCTATTCTTTTCGTCAGGGAAAAAATTCCAAAATTCTATCAATCTTTGAAATTTATCAATTTATAAATCAAGTAAAGCGAAATCCTATAAAACAACTGACGTATAAATCGGGGGATAATTTTTTTTTGGCCCACCCTGATTACAGCTATTTTGCACGCACGTGATTGATTAATCATTAAATTTATCTAATTTAACGCGCATCTACTTTGCGAAGTGATTTATTAAAGTAATGTAAGTAGTTATGTGCCACGAATGGATTTAATTCTATTGGATTTAAAAGTTTCAGATTTAATATTTATTATAAAATTTATATTTACACGTTGAAACTTGAAACTTTTTTAAAAACTGATCTCTTTGAACAAAAAAAAAAAGATCTTTCTAGTCACTTTACATCACACTTGGTACTTCTTTGGGTACTCTTGGAACTAAAATATTAAAAATGTAAGTTTTTTGTGATGTACCAAACAGTATTAGCCATTAGTTTATAGGAATTATTTTTATATTCTATGAAAAGAGTCTTTAAAGCAGGTATATTTTGTGAGAAAATATTATTTAAATAACGCTTTTACTGTAATTGATATTTCCCAAATTTTGTTCAACTCTATATCAATAAAAAATCATAACCAAAAAGATTTTTTTTCACATCCTTATTTATTTTCTTATATAAAAAACATTTCAGTTTAATACAATTACACCAGCTTTCAATAATTTCCTTTCTTTTGCTTTAACTTGAGCCGCAATACGATCCAAGTCACGTCTACCCTGGTTGGTAATTTTGCGACCACCATCGGGAGATTTCTCAATCAATTTCAAAGCTTCTAAACTTTGTAAAGCTTTACGGGCGATACTTCCAGCTGATCTACAGAAATGAGAGGGCATCGTACCGTTACGTTTACGCGTACCGAAAATTTTCGTCACCGTTCCAACACCAATTGGCGATCTAATGTAAATATGTCTAATTACAGCCGAACAACGAATGTAAAACCAATCGGGATCGTAAGGAGCTAATTCTTTAGCACGGGATGTTTTTACTAAATCAACCCATTCCGGTACTTTCAGTTTTCCTGATCTTTAAAAAAAAAGTAAGGTTAGAAAATTTTAAAACTTTAATTCTATTTAGAATTTAATTAAAATCATTATATTATACTTACTTTTTAAGAAATTGGGCGAAAGCCTTCACGAATTTGTGTTGATCAACGTCTTTTAACGTTACAGACGGCATTTTTCTGAGAAAGAGAGGTTAACTATTAAGAAAACACCAACACGTGAACACGTAAACAAGGATTTTAACTGGTTAAATAAGGAATGTTGTTAATTAATACTCGGATAATAAATAAATACAACTTGCAGGATTTTATAATGATTTGAGGGAGTTTTGGTTAATTATTTAATAAAAATTAATGAAAGAATCGACTAACCTGTCACTGATCTACGTCCACAGCGGAAAAGGAAGTTTAAGAATGCTTGTCGGTAAAGAAGGATGTTTTTACCGTGTGGATATTTAAAAATTTGGCGCGAAATATAATATTTAATAACATATAATACATATTTTTATTTAAAGGTGCTTAAAATACTTTTTAGTTTATAAAATAAATTAATAAAGACATTTATCAATTAATTTTTCTTTATCCAAAATAATAAAAATTTTTAAAAAAATTTTATTTTGAGGTTAGGATGACAAAACTTAAACTTAATTAAAAAAATTGTTTTAAATCGATTTATTCTCTATCAACACTAACAACATCATCCTTCTTTTTCTTATTATCTTTCCTTCTTCTCTTTAAATCTTTCTTAAAATATTTCCTTTCCTCTTCATCGGGATCTAAACCCCCCAAAATCCACTTTTTCCTCTTATTGATCATCTTTTTTTCAAAAAAATCTTTTTCGTCTAACGTAATATGAGCTTCACCTTTCGATACAGCAATTTGAGTAAAAATTTTACCCACCTCAGCATCTAAACCAAAAATAAATTTAAACGAAAAATTTATTAATTACACTTTATATTAAAATTTACCATTAACTTTGTACTCTTTTAACTTTATATTAATAAAATCTTCTACTTTATGTAATAATTCAACATCATATTGACTCATTAGTGTTATAGCAACACCTTTTCTACCAGCTCTTGCTGTTCTACCCACTCTATGGATATATTCTTTGGGTATTTTTGGAATTGTATGATTAATTACAAGTTGCACACTTGGAATATCAAGACCTCTGGCGGCTACATCCGTTGCAATTAAAATTTTGACTGTATTCGATTTAAATCTAGCTAAAGCAGCTAGTCTTTGTGATTGGGAAATCATTGCATGTAAAGATACATTTTCAAAACCAACATCATTTAACATCATTGATAAAACCTGACATTTTCTAAAAACAACATTTTTAAAGATTTTCTAATACTTTTTTTTTTGTTATTACTTGCAAGAATCGACGAAAATCATGATATTTCCATCTGGGTCTTTAGCTCTGTAACTCCGTATTGTTTCAACAAAGTATCCATCTCGAATATCTTTAGGGCATAACACATAAAATTGATCTAGTTCATCTACAGTAGCTACTTCTTCAGGTGTTTCATATAAAAACACATCAGTTTTAGCAATCTCTTTAAATGTCTTTAATGAGTCTGATATGGTAGCAGAAAAAAATAAATTTTGTCTATTTTTTGGTAAAACACGAAAAATTGTCGCCATTTGCTCTTCAAATTGACCACTTAAAAGTCGATCGGCTTCATCCAGAACCAAATATTTTATTTTACCCAAACTAAAAGTGTTACAACTTTCGAGGTGATCAGCTAATCTACCAGGTGTTGCCACTACTATATGGGGCCTTTTCGATAACTCTTGCCCTTGCAAAACCATGTCCATACCCCCAACAATTACAGCGCATCTTAAATTAAGCGGTTTTCCCAACACATTAAATTGATCGGCTATTTGGAAAGCTAACTCACGAACAGGAGTTAGAATTAACGCAAAAATACCATATGGGTCATTAGCTAAAGTTTGCAAAATTGGTAAAGCAAACGCTAAAGTTTTTCCACTCCCTGTTTTTGCAGCTCCAATACAATCTTGACCACTTAAAATCTTTGGAATGCAATTTTCTTGAACAGGTGTTGGATTTAAAACACCTAGAACAAATATGTTTTTGGAATGATGTGATGAGAAAATAAGATTTTTTTTACCTATTTTTGTACATTGACGAAGAAGCCAAGGATCTATATTGAGATTTTCGAAAGATTTCATTATTACATTAATGCACGTCAAAATTTGAGGTTATGTTGAGTTTGACGTTAAATTTTAGGTTATTTTTTAATTTGTTTAACTTAATCTAATAAATGTATTAATTAAATAACCGTAATCGTTTTAATTAAATATGAATTAATTATGAATTATTAAAATATATTGATTCGTGACAAAATTAAATGTATATTTAAATATAACTGTGCCATCTAGTGAGTAATATTTGTAACAAATAATTTATGCATAAATTCTCATTTGTGTGGTGAATAGCCGAAAAACTTGATAATTAAGCACGCTCTCATTTCTATAAATAACTAAATAAAACTATAATGTATGTTATCTTATTTATTTATTGTATATAAATTAAATTGTTAGTTTAAATTTAAATACGAATATTTTATCCAATAGAGGGCGACACAATTTAAATAAACTGTCAATTTAATCCTTCCGGTTGCTACCGCGGTGTTGTCACTTTTCTCTGTGTACATAAGTTATCCTTTCATTGTAGAAGTATTATTAACATTTTTGAAGAAGTTAAGACTTATTAAAAGGATCGTGATGATCGGACGGAAAAAGTATAGATCGAAAAAGAGGTGAAAATTGAACGAGATTGTTTATGTTAAATGTAGTTAAGAGAGACCTTGAAACGTCGTAGATTGCAAATGAATTCATTTCCGTAATCGAAGCGGTATTTTTGAATTTTATGTTTACTTTGTTTTAAAAAAAGAAACGTCAAAAACGTAAGTATGGAAAATGAGAATCGGGAAATTCTGGAAGATGTTGCAATTTCGGACGTCGGTGGATCGCAATATATGATTCAACGAATTCCGGTAGATAGTACGCAATTATTGAGTACGGAATTGCTTCAACATCATAATGGGTTAGTTGTTGACTTGGGTGCTGGCGATTTTATACCAGTTAATTATGCTTCTGAAGATCTATTACCTCAAGATTTAACTGAAGAAGATCGCAATTTAGCAGCTGCTTTGGTAGCGGTACAATTAAGCCAACAACAGAAACAACAACAACTTCAAGACTCTAACGTAGTTATTAATGGTAATTTAGCCACTTTATGTGATGATCAATTGACCGATAAAACTTCTATATCAAATGGTTATTTACAAATTGTTGATTCTGATAATATTTACAAACAAAGTTTGATACAAAAGATATGTTTTGATGCTAGAGATTTTTCTCCAGCAGAAGTTTACGAAAGGAATGATGAGATCCTTTCGATTAAATCCGAAAAAGAGATTGAAGTTAACACTACTCATAGAGACTCAGACGGTGATCAAAAATCAGAAACGCGAAGCTTAAAAAAAACTCTCCCACATAAAAAGAGACTTTCGAGGAAATTAAAAAAAACTAATAACGCCTTGAAAAAATATTATAAATGTAACTTATGCGAACAAGTTTTTCATAACAACGAGGATTACACTACTCATCAAAGCCTTTGTCAAACAACCATTACTCCAATTAATCAAGTTTTATTTACTTGCCAAATTTGTTCTGCTAACTTTCAGGATCAATTAAGATTTTTTGAACACCTTAAAGTTCATTATGAACCTAGTATTTTAGTGCAAGAAAATACAGCAATTGAAAACAAACAAAAAGAATTTCGACAACACGCAACCAAATCCCAAGAATCACTCCAATTGATTTTACATACTTGTTTAGACTGTAATAAAACATTTCGTAGAATAAAAGCTTACGAGGCGCACATCCGAGAATTTCATAATAAAGATGATCTACATGAATTTAGCGGCCCTGAAGATCTTATGCAAGATATCGATGTTTCAACATCAGTCCAACCATCAATAGATACAAAAGAATGGTTAGTAAAAAGATGAATTATGACTTTTTGGGTTATTTTAAGTTTTTTTAATTAGGTATCATCGAGATGATGAACTTCAAGCTACAGAAGAAGATTTAAGGGAATTGGAAGCCCAAGATTGCGTTTGTGTAACGTGCAAGCAACAATTTCAAACGAGAGCAGCATTACATGAACATTCTTTAAATTGCAAAGAGGATGGTCCTGAAACAAAAAGTTTGTATTAAACAAAAAAATTAATATTAAATTATTATGTNCTACATGAATTTAGCGGCCCTGAAGATCTTATGCAAGATATCGATGTTTCAACATCAGTCCAACCATCAATAGATACAAAAGAATGGTTAGTAAAAAGATAAATTATTACTTTTTAGGTTATTTTTAGTGATGAATAAAAACTATCGAATAATTTGATATCATAAAATTTATTCAAATGAATAAATGGTGTTATATACAGGGTGTTTTAGCGTCATTAGACGTTTCTGGGGTTCTGGGCAAAATAAAAATTTGAGAATTCAGATTTAAGTATTATCAATTGCATTCTCTTCAACTAAAATATTTTCAGATTTCTAATACTTCCGGTTATACCGAAAGTCGCCACCTACTTATTGTATGTTTTTACAAGTTTGGGTTTGTCTGTTTTCAAGGCTTATGAATAACTTTACTTTCTGCAATTTGATTCAGGCTTTCTCGAGTTATTCGAATTTTTCTAGAAAAATCTGCTCCAGGAGACATGTCATTGTGTTCAAAAAATCAGAGAATACTCGATTTTTGAGATATCAATTTAGGATTCAGAACATGTTTAAGCAACATGATGGAGTATGTTTTGGTGCAGAGAACGGCTGTCTAGATCGTTTGGTCACTTTACTATGGCACGTTAACTTTTCGAAGTTTGGAAGTACCAAAACTTAATTTTTTTAAATGGCACCCCCCAATATTTATTACTTACAAGGGAAGTATCAGAACTGTCCCTCACCGATTTTGTTGAAATTTGGTACAGCGATAGTATGGCCAAAAATAAGGTTTACGTATTTTTTTATACGTGCTAATAAAGCCCCTGGGGCGAGTTATAAGGGTTGGAAATCGGGGCGAAATATATATATTCGCTTATAGGCTGAAAACGAAAATAGCTATCGAAATGTGGTAAATGTAAACTGATATTCATTTTCAAAGAGCTTTCCATTGATATATCACACATATATCTGAGGGCTTCAGGGGGTAAACTACCCCTAGTTTTTTGGAATATTTTAAAAACTACCCTGTCGATTTTGGCGATATTATGTGTCCTTATAGTACGTTTAAAAATATTAATGACGTGTTTTTTCTTATTTGCCTCTGACCATCCCCTGCAAAGTTACGGGGTATGATAGATAACCCCTTTCCTTAAGAATAATGTGATAAACTGTTACACTTTTGAACAATATTTTGAAGAAAACCATTAATTAGATGTAAATTAAGATTTACGCAGTAAAATAAACCCTATACGACATTAAGGGGTGGCTGGGGTTAACTACCCTAACCACCCCAAAAATTATTTTTTTTTGCGAAAATTGTTTGTCGATTTTGGTGCAATTTACCACGATGATTTTTTTATACGTTAGGTAGTACTATTGTAAGAACTTACAAGGGTTAGAAGTTTGGGGTAGAAAATATATTTTCGCTAATAACTTTCATACTCCTACAGAAAAAGCTTTTTTATCCTTATTCTATTTAAATAACACAAAAGTTAGGATAATTATATAAATATTTATTAATAATGAGTTAAAAAGTAACTGACAAAAGAATGGTTGACTATCACAAATTGTATTCTACATTATTAATTTAATTTCTTTTTTTTTACTTTTTTTATTCAATATATTGTTGGCAATAATGAAAATCATGGAAAAAATGTTTTAAACACAACGATTGTTTACACCATGCACAAGTTATAACAGCTATATCTCCACAGATATCGCACGTAGGTTTTTCATTGGAAAAGCAAACCTCCACGGGATTTTCAAACTGTTCTGGTCTCTCCTCTATATATCCAGATGCAAACCAGGCGTATTTAAAAACATTAATAAATCGTGGGGAAGACAACTGGTTATGCGTTAAGGATTGCAATTTTAAAATATTATCTCGCTGATGCAAATTGACATCGTACTGGTAGAGAATAACTTGATCAGAAAATCTTCTAATGAAATTTTTCCATATTCTAAAACCAAATACATCCAGGGGTTGAATTTGACCTGTTGTCCCTGCAGGTATAGACAAATATTTAAACTTAACATCCGATGGAGTTACTTCACTAATAATTTCAGGGCAGTGGCCACTCCAAGAATCCAGTAATAGTAATGATTTGGGTCCGGTGTTTGGGAAATAGACATTTTGTAGCCAATTTTTCATATGAGCAGAAGTCAGTTTACCAGACTTTGATGCCAAAACGAATATGTTATCTGCTTTGAACATTGTATTTATTACCCTCGGTCCAAACGTACCAGAGGATTCTAACAATGTAGAATACAATTTGTGATATTTAACCATTTTTTTTCAGTTGCTTTTTAACTCATTATTAATAAATATTTATATAATTATCCTAGCTTTTGTGTTATTTAAATAGAATAAGGATAAAAAAGCTTTTTCTGTAGGAGTATGAAAGTTATTAGCGAAAATATATTTTCTACCCCAAACTTCTAACCCTTGTAAGTTCTTACAATAGTACTAACGTATAAAAAAATCAGCGTGGTAAATTGCTCCAAAATCGACAAACAATTTTCGCAAAAAAAAATTTATTTGGGGTGGTTAGGGTAGTTAACCCCCGCCACCCCTTAATGTCGTATAGGGTTTATTTTACTGCGTAAATCTTAATTTACATCTAATTAATGGTTTTCTTCAAAATATTGTTCAAAAGTGTAACTGTTTATCACATTATTCTTAAGGAAAGGGGTTATCTATCATACCCCGTAACTTTGCAGGGGATGGTCAGAGGCAAATAAGAAAAAACACGTCATTAATATTTTTAAACGTACTATAAGGACACATAATATCGCCAAAATCGACAGGGTAGTTTTTAAAATATTCCAAAAAACTAGGGGTAGTTTACCCCCTGAAGCCCTCAGATATATGTGTGATATATCAATGGAAAGCTCTTTGAAAATGAATATCAGTTTACATTTACCACATTTCGATAGCTATTTTCGTTTTCAGCCTATAAGCGAATATATATATTTCGCCCCGATTTCCAACCCTTATAACTCGCCCCAGGGGCTTTATTAGCACGTATAAAAAAATACGTAAACCTTATTTTTGGCCATACTATCGCTGTACCAAATTTCAACAAAATCGGTGAGGGACAGTTCTGATACTTCCCTTGTTAGTTGTCTTGGGCGTCTCATTTTACATCTTTTATACTCCATATGTCCTATACTTAACATTAATAGTTTGGGAAATATTTAGGGTTTTTTGAAAAATGCTCATTTATCATATTGATATTTAACCTGGTGTGCCATAGAAAACAAATGTTTAATGACTTATTGACAAACGTCAACGTCTCATTTACGTTGTTTGATGCTCGTGAGTCTAAAACTAGTTAAAATGGATATTAATAACGTAAATAATGTTTATACAAACAAAGAAATCCATAATTTATTTTTTGTGCACGAAAAGTGCGACAAAGTTCTTGGTAGAACTTGCAGGATGTATAACCCATTAAGGACCAGTGATAGAAATAATTGAAAAAATTCTATTTTTTTTGTCAATAAACCTTTATTTAGGTCTTTAGAAACAATCTTTAAAATATAAAATACAACATAATACATTTTGGTAGATTTTTTGAACGTTGCGTTAACGCAACATTGGGACCAACTCCATAGTAAATGGAAATTTACATTTGATGCACATAAATACTATCATGCTTTGACATACCCTGCAGCGTCGTCTCTACTTTTCATAGTATTTTGAATTATGTATAACACATTATAGTTACAAAAATTGTGGAACCATGTCCTCTGGTGTATCTAAAGCGCCCTTTACACGATCAATATATATTGTCAATATCTGAGTATTGACAATATTATTGAACGTGTGAGGAGAAAGATTGACATATTGTCAATATTAAAAATATTGATGGGATGGTTTAACGAAAACGAAAATATTTGATATATTGGCAATAAATATTGACAGTCTGTGAGAGATATTGACAATCCTACATTAGTAGGATTATATCGCGTAATTATGAATTCAGACAGATATACTTTAATGAAAGAAAGTGCTATTAATTCCCCGGAGGGTTCATTAACACATGCAAACATGACATGACATCTTTGAGTGCCAACGCAAAACTAAATAGATTGTCACTAAATATTGATAGTCTGAGGCAATTACAGTTTGTCAATATTTATTGAATATTTATTATATCGTGTAAAGGGCGCTTTAACTGTTGCTGACACTAATAAGGCTTCCCTACTAATTCCCATCTAAAATCCAACTGAGAAATTGGTTTGTCATTATATTGTTTGCGGAATTTAACATATTTATAAATGGCAACCACCATTTTTTCCCTGGTAATAGTATTTCAAATGTTCCGACAATATCAAATGGCAAATCTTATATTCCACCGATAGTTTCTTCTAAATATCTTCCTCATTGGTCAAATTGTCAACTTCGTGTGAAACATAACCAATATCAATTACTTGGTTGAGATCAAAATCTTCAAAAATTGCTTCAAGTTCTTTCAGCATTAAAGGCCTCTTGGGATTATATTGATATTTGACCCTACTCTAAAGTCGCAAATATACCCTAACGCATATATATTTACACTACTATAAAATTGTACATACCATTATAAAATATTCTTGAGTCACAATATTGTGATGTACTCACTTTTCCACGCTTATTACAAAAGTTATAATATTATATGTACATAGTGAGCTTTGGAAAGATCGAAAAGGTATCAAAAATTATATTTGCGTAAACAATCTTTTTTTTTCTAAAATATGTATTTAAATGCTTTATTTATTACTAGCAATAATATTCTCAATTTTGTCGTAATTTGGGGCGTAAATGAAACCCGGCTCGTCGCATAAACATAATTAAAATATATATTATATTCTTTCTATTATAGATAGTAATTTTTAATTTTTATTTAATTAATAAACGACTCTGAATGCCACCCTAATCAACTATTTGCCAACTTCAAACAAGTTTACGAATGCAATTCATATGTATATCTACTAGTGGCTAGGTCCCAATGTTGCGTTATCGCAACATAATAATTCATATTACCATGCTAAAAATTTCACCATTTTTGTTAATTTATATTTACGCTTAAAAGTTGAATTATCTATGATAAAAAATTGCATAGGTGTACTCAAATCCTTCTTAAACAAATAGTGTTTTTCTGATCAAAAATTAATGCTTTTAAATATTTAATTTCTTATAGAATAAATAGATTTGAAATTAAAGGAATTAGTTAGAATATTGTGTAAAGTTTTAGAAATAAGGTGGCAGGGAGAATTAATGTCGCTAACTATGGGTCTAATGGGATTGTCTGTCTTGTGTAATTTTATCAAACTATGTAATGTGGGATGTAGGGGATTCATGGGCATGTATTTTTTGGTCCAGGGAAAGAATTTATTTAAGGTGTAGAGGATTTTTGCAGTATACTCTTTAATTTATTAGTAAAAGAAGGAAGAGGGTCTTTGTGGAACATAGTAATATTATTATCATTAAAGAAAGATAAAGTTTTAGAGATATATTCTGGTTTATTAAGTAAAACAAGACCAGCATTTTTATCAGCAGGTGTGCAGATTAAGTTATGTTTCAGAAAATTATTTTTCAAAGAATTGATAGTATCTTGATATTTGAAATTGGAAAGACTAGATATGGGAGTAAACTAATTTATGTTATATAGGAGATCAGCTTTTAGTTCTAAACGTAAAGTATCATCTTTTAAATGAAATATTGCTTTTTCAATACATATAATTAATATTATAAAGATGAACCTGGAGGTAAATATCGCTAATCTACCAAAATGAACTTCTGATGAACGCCAACGGTGTAAATATCCAAAATGCCGAGAAAGTTTTTCTGTCATAATTAAAGAAGAATTACATCTAGTACACAAATCTTGTTTCACTTTTAGCTCAGGGTATCCGATTTGTTTTTTCAGATGCCACTACGCTGTGCTTAAAATGAGCTACTAATATTCTACATTTCTTTAACAGTTGCAGTACCGGTTCGGTTGAGTTTATGGCATCTGTGACACATAGGTTTAAAGGATACGCAATACGTGTTTGTCAATTATTGCATTTTTTATATTAGCACCGTTGTCATTAACAATGGTAATTATTTTGTCTTGAATTTCCCAAGCATTGAAATCCTCTGAAAGAGCAGAGACAATATTTATATCTGTATGGGCTTGCTGTATTTCCTTTATTGCCAAAACAGCATTATGTATTAAGACGTTATAAAAAAAGTGACTAGTTACTGATAAAAATGCTTTATTGCTGTCAGAAGTCCATATATAGTTATAGCGACATGATAATATTGAGGTTCATTATTATGTCGATCCCCTAATGTTGGAATTCATCTTGCCTATATAAAGTATCTAATTCGTGATACCTGTGGTGCTTGCGCCATAAATGGTCTGGGATGTTGGAAGTGTTACCACTGAATTTCAATTGCTTTTTACAAATTTCGCAAGTTGCTGTATTAGACGAATCTTTTATATGTTGTTTATTACTTTATACACACTATTTATATCTAGAAGACAATTAAAAAGAATTTTTTTGAATGAATGAATTTATTCGATAGTCAAATTCATTCGGTGGTCCCCATCACTAGTTATTTAAAGTTTTTTAATTAGGTATCATAGAGATGATGAACTTCAAGCTACAGAAGAAGATTTACGAGAATTAGAAGCCCAAGATTGCGTTTGTGTAACGTGCAAGCAACAATTTCAAACGCGTGCAGCATTACATGAACATTCTTTAAATTGCAAAGATGTCGATGGTCCGGAACCAAAAAGTTTGTATTAAAACAAAAAAATTAACACGAAATTATTGAGTGTTTCTCTAGCCACATCATCGGAAGGTCGAAAATCGAAGAAAAAAATGGTTGAATTTAAATGCACAATGTGTCCAAGGATATTTACGCATAAAAATTCTTTGGTTTATCACATGAGGGTGCATACGGGAGTGAGGCCTCATACTTGCGTTGAGTGTGGAAAAAGTTTCTTTGCCGCTAGTGCTTTAAAAGTTCATTTAAGGCTTCATTCAGGTAAATTAATAAAAATAAATTAATCAAAATCACAAAAATAAAAAATTCTAGGTGATAAACCGTATTGTTGCGAATATTGTGGTAAACATTTCCGTCAATGGGGTGATTTAAAATACCATTGCGTTTCGATACACTCCGACCACAAACAATATCAATGCGATTATTGCGGAAAAGAATTTGCTAGAAAATATTCGTTGATAGTCCATACTCGAATCCACACGGGCGAAAAGAATTATAAATGCGAATTTTGTTGTATGACATTTAGAGCGTCATCTTATTTGCAAAATCATCGAAGAATACATACAGGTGAAAAACCCCATTGTTGTGATATGTGCGGAAAACGATTTCGTGTAAGATCTGATATGAAAAGGCATCTCTTAACGCATAATCGCAAAAGAAATATATCAAGAGTACCCGACCCTGCCGATCCTTTCATTTCAAAGGATGAACCAAAAACGGAATCAAGCGAAATGGTTGATCCGCTTCAACAAGAAGATGACTCGATGGATACAGAATTGAATCGCGTTTCAAGCGGTGGGATTGAAACGCCTTCAAGTGGAAGTATGCAAACGTTACAATACGAACATGACCCCCTCGAGGGTATTCAAGATAATAATACCCTTTATGTTATGCCGATTTTAATCACTTAATGTAGTTGTTTATTACTGTTCCTTTTCAAGTATGTACATACCATATTAAAATATTTTTTAGATAAAATAATGGAAAAAAAGATTATTTTTCATAAAAAAAATAAATACATTTAAAAAGTTATTAATTTTATTATTCTACAGGTTTTATAGTTACGAGATAAAATAAAAAGCAAAATAAATCAAACTTACACTCTTCGCATTTCCAAAATTAGATGCACAAGAACAAAAAGTCTTGCCAAGATCGACCGAAGGGTTTAAAGTAACCTTCCTTTTTTTTCGCTCTGAGGCCCAGATATAGATATTTCAGATTAATGATTTTTTTGGCAATTGACGTTATGGTCACTACTGATTTAGAGCTTATAAATAAAAAATGGTAATAATTGAGTTCAATCTTTTTATGGATCTAGTCTTTATGGTCTATTACTAAGGTTTTATGTATAAAAAGTATTTCCCCATCGCTTTTAGTTTTTGAGTTATGATTGAGTTAATTTTCGAAAATCAACAATTTTGATGTTTAATCGATTTAGAGCTTATAAATAAAAAATGGTAATAATTTCGTTCAATCTTGATATGGATCTAGTCTTTATGGCCCATTACTAAGGTTTTATGTATAAAAAGTTTTTCTCCATCGCTTTTAGCTTTTGAGTTATAATTGAGTTAATTTTCAAAAATCAACAATTTTGATGTTTAATCGATTTAGAGCTTATAAATAAAAAATAGTAATAATTGGGTTCAATCTTGTTATGGATCTAGTCTTTATGGCCCATTACTAAAGTTTTATGTATAAAAAGTTTTTCTCCATCGCTTTTAGTTTTTGAGTTATGATTGAGTTAACTGCTTTGCGATCGACCAGTCGATCGCTATCGACGTTATGGACACACTGTTATATCGTATATAGAGTGGTTCAGTTTTTAATCTGGAAACTTTACTAGGACGTAGTACATGGCAAAATAACACAAGTTTATCATATAAACATAGGATTGCAACTCTATTGTTTTCAAGCTTTGAGCTGTCAAAGTTGGGCCAAAAATTTACATTTTATCTTCTATTTCGGGTATAACTAAACCGTAGAATTTGAAATTTTGTGTGTATGTACTACTGGTTAACACCTTATTTTCAACCATACCTTAAACTTCCCTAGGATCGCCCTCTAAGGAGATGAAATTCACAAGCCATTTCGATTTTTTTATAACAACTTTTTAACGCCATGGAATATTAACATAAAAAAATATGGGTTGTAAAGCTTATTCATTATTGTTTTTTTTTGTCTCTTTAGTTTTTTCCTAAAAGATAATAGTTTTAGCGTAAAACAATAAAGTATGTTACATTGTACTGTAAAACGCTATTATTAAAAAAGAATTTTTCTTTATAGCTAGCAGTGGAAGTTGTGCACTAACTACAATCTAGTACTAACTAAATAACACCCAATTAATTGTGATTTTCATAAGAAAAACCATAAATAAGTCTGTTTGAAGAAATTACGTTTTAAACAATATTAAAAAATTGATAGTCTTGCTTAATAACAGTCAAAAATTAGTAATAATCATCAATTATGAGGATTTGATTGTTTATTACTGTTCTTATTCAAGTAGGTACATACCACATTAAAATATTTTTTAGATAAAATAATAGAAAAAAAGGTTATAAAAAAAAATTCATTTAAAAATTTATTAATTTTATTATTCTACAGGTTTTATAGTTACAAACCGAGATAAAATAAAAACGGTTGAAATAGTAATTGCAATAAAGCAAAAAACTGTTATATAAAACGTTTCTTCTGTAAATATATCGGTGAAATAAGGAATTTTGTTATAAATATGCTCAACAATTCTAATATGGTAATGTTTCGATTTGCCATTATTAACCATCTTTATTTCTTTTTTAATTTCTTTTGGATCTTAGCTTTAACAGCGGGAACGGGTGCAGATTCTTGTTCTATTTTAATTAAGGGCCCCAAGTGTTTATTAAAATATTGAAAAATCTCCAACACCGTTAAATTATTAGCTAAAAACCTCAAACTTCTAAAACAAAGAAGACCTTATTATCAAAAAGGAAATCCAACCCAATCCAACTCACTTGTTGTTTGTAAAATCTATCTTAACTTGTGGTTCGCTTCGATCACAAACCACAGTGGTTTTTATGATACAATCCAAATTTGTACTGGTCACCTTGGGGCTTGATATAAAGTGCAGGAAGTCTCTAAAAAAATATATATCTTTTCGTTACGCGACTGCGTCTATTTTTAAACCCAAAAATCAATACTTTAAGTTGAGGTTATGTTACCTAGCTGTTGCTGCTTTTTCGTGAAAAGGATCAAATTGTATTTGTATTCGCTTCACCGGTTTTAAATTAACCAATTTTAACTGCTTTGCTATCGCACTAACGATTCCTCCCGATCTTTTAAATGTTCCACTAAAATATATCGACATATTTCAGGTTTTTCGTGATTTTGAATTATAGGTTAGGTAATTTTTTTTTGTTTTAATGTTGGTATTAAATTAATAGAAAAGTAGAAATTAACATTTTATTATTAAAAAATTCATTTTGCAATAATAATAATATTATTTATAATATTATTATAAATAAATATGAATATTATATTAATTGCAAAATAACCAAAAAAATAAATAAGTTTTTATGTATTTGTCATGGATGTTTCAAATTTATAAATTAATTTATTTATTTAAAAATTCCATGTTATTGTTTGAAATAAACATAATTTACCGTATTAATTAAATTTCCAGAAAATTCGATAATGTTAAAGCATTAAAAGCGCATGTCTATTTCCACTACTTTTCTTTGTAATTCGTAGTGTGGCAACCATGACAAACAAATTTTAACCGGCAATTGTTTGTGGTACATCAACTTCTTCTGTCAGTGTCAGTGTTAATTTTGAGGCTTAAACCCAAAAAAGAAATCGAAAATAATCACTTTCTAACAAGAAAAAGGGATTTTAACCAATACGTAATCGTAATCAAAAAAAAAATCTTATCATAACCTCAAAACATTTGAAGCGCGCTTTGATTTCGATTTAACCTCAAAAGAACATTCCAGAAAAGCGCCATGGATATTTCACCGAAAAAAGACGAAGGTGTTCTTAAAGATATCTTAACCCCTGGTGAAGGCGATGAAACACCACCGCCAGGATGTAAAGTACGCGTACATTACACTGGGACATTATTGGATGGAACTCAATTTGATTCAAGCCGGGATCGAAATCAACCGTTTGAGTTCGATTTAGGAACAGGTGAATTTATTGTCTTATATTAATATACATAAATGTTATTTTATGATTCGTGTAAAAATTTTTGAAGAAAATACTTTTAAACTGGTTTTTATTTTATATAGAATTTAAGTCTAACTAGTTTCGGCCCTTGGCCATCTTACTATCTTAGAGACTCTACAAATAGATTAACATCTCTCATCTTATCCATTTTACGAACAAGTTTCTTAATATTTCTTTTTGTTTTCTTAAAAAAGATCACATATTAAAGTCGAAATCAGATTATTAATTACTAATTTACAAAATTAAAGTTTAAAAAGTTGTAAAATGAAATTAAGGACGACGTTTACAGGTTAAAATTAAGAACGCTCTTTTTTAACAAAAGAAATATTAAGAAACTTGGGAAAAATTCAAGAATCATTATGTGGCTTAAAAATCGACGACTTTTTTTAATCAATAAGAAATGACCCAAAAAAGACGTTAAAAATAAAAAGAAAGTGCAGAAAAATAACTAACTTAAGTAATAACTAACTTCAGGTTTAAAATGTCAACCTCAATTTTGACATATTTGTAATCTTCATTAAAAATCCTTTAAAATGAGTACAAACACGACATATTTATCTTCAATATTAATGAAGTTATGGTCAACTTCCGGTTAGGAATGTCAACGGCAATTTTGACATATTTATAATCGTAAAAAATCCTTTAAAATGAGTCCAAACATGATACGTTTAATTCCAATATTACTGGAGATATAAGCAACTTCCGGTTTGAAATGTCAATGACATTTTGACATATTCTTAATTTTCATAAAATGTCTTAATATTTGTCACAAAAACAAAAATATAATAAAAAAAAATCAAAAATTAAGGTTGGTATTATATTTTTCGGGTCGTGTTTGGACTCGATTTAAGGGATTTTTAGTTCCCCACCCGATTATGAATAAAAAAAGAACCTAACCTCACTTTGTAAACGTCGAATTGATATTTTTCGCCATGTTGATTAATAATTTTAATTAAATAATAATAAAATTCTTTATTTCTGGATCTAAAAATAACCCGGCGAATTTAATTTCGTTGAAATCGAATCATTTTTGTTAAATCATCTTCCATTTTGTTTTTATTACTATCGAATTTGATTAATCCAACATCGTATTCGTAATCTACATTAAATTTCCTTTAAAATGACCCTAAACTCGGTCGAGTTATCTTAAAAAACAACATACACCACCAACTTCCGGTTGTCACTTTTTTTAGGTTATGTTAAAATTAAATGTTGGATATCTCGGGTGTTTTTTAAGATAATTGGGTCGTGTTTGGACTCGATTTAAGGGATTTTTAATTCCCCACCCGATTATGAATAAAAAAAGAACCTAACCTCACTTTGTAAACGTCAAATTGATATTGTTTGATATTTTTCGCCATCTTGATTAATAATTTTAATTAAATAATAATAAAATTCTTTATTTCTAGATCTAAAAATACCCGGCGAATTTAATTTCGTTGAAATCGAATCATTTTTCTTAAATCATCCTCCATTTTGTTTTTATTACTATCGAATTTGATTAATCTAACATCGTATTCGTAATCTACATTAAATTCCCTTTAAAATGAGCCCAAACTCGGTCGAGTTATCTTAAAAAACAACAAACGGCACCGACTTCCGGTTGTCACTTGTTTGAGGTTATGTCAAAATTAAATATGGGATATCTCGGTTATTTTTTAAGATAATTGAGTCGTGTTTGGACTCAAATTAAAGGATTTTTAATTCCCCACCCGATTAAGAATAAAAAAAGAACCTAACGTCACTTTGTAAACGTCAAATTATTATTGTTTGATATTTTTCGCCATCTTGATTAATAATTTTAATTAAATAATAATAAAATTCTTTATTTTTAGATCTAAAAGTACCCGGCAAATTTAATTTCGTTGAAATCGAATCATTTTTCTTAAATCATCCTCCATTTTGTTTTTATTACTATCGAATTTGATTAATCTAACATCGTATTCGTAATCTACATTAAATTCCCTTTAAAATGAGCCTAAACTCGGTCGAGTTATCTTAAAAAACAACAAACTTCCGGTTGTCACTTTTTTGAGGTTATGTCAAAATTAAATGTTGGATATCTCGGGTGTTTTTTAAGATAATTGGGTCGTGTTTGGACTCGATTTAAGGGATTTTTAATTCCCCACCCGATTATGAATAAAAAAAGAACCTAACCTCACTTTGTAAACGTCAAATTGATATTGTTTGATATTTTTCACCATTTTGATTAATAATTTTAATTAAATAATAATAAAATTCTTTATTTCTGGATCTAAAAATAACTCGGCGAATTTAATTTCGTTGAAATCGAATCATTTTTCTTAAATCATCTTCCATTTTGTTTTTATTACTATCGAATTTGATTAATCCAAGATCGTATTCGTAATCTACATTAAATTTCCTTTAAAATGAGCCTAAACTCGGTCGAGTTATCTTAAAAAACAACATACACCACCAACTTCCGGTTGTCACTTTTTTGAGGTTATGTCAAAATTAAATGTGGATATCTCGGGTGTTTTTTAAGATAATTGGGTCGTGTTTGGACTCGATTTAAGGGATTTTTAATTCCCCACCCGATTATGAATAAAAAAAGAACCTAACCTCACTTTGTAAACGTCAAATTGATATTGTTTGATATTTTTCGCCATTTTGATTAATAATTTTAATTAAATAATAATAAAATTCTTTATTTCTGGATCTAAAAATAACCCGGCGAATTTAATTTCGTTGAAATCGAATCATTTTTCTTAAATCATCTTCCATTTTGCTTTTATTACTATCGAATTTGATTAATCCAACATCGTATTCGTAATCTACATTAAATTCCCTTTAAAATGAGCCGAAACTCGGTCGAGTTATCTTAAAAAACAACATACACCACCAACTTCCGGTTGTCACTTTTTGGAGGTTATGTCAAAATTAAATGTGGGATATCTCGGGTGTTTTTTAAGATAATTGGGTCGTGTTTGGACTCAAATTAAAGGATTTTTAATTTCCAACGTGATTATACACAAAGATAAAAGTTAACCTCACTTTGTAAACGTCAAATTAATTTTATTCGTTATTATCCGCCGTTTTAACACAACGTTTTGTTTTTATTTGTATTTATTGACTTATTTTTTTAGTAAATGTCAAATTATTTATTGCCAACTATAAATTGGGTAACCTTATAACCAATATTCAACGGAACTTGGTGTATTGCAATACCAATACTGTGATTTTGGTTCCATACTTGCAATAATGACGTCATATCGAAACTTTAAAGTGTTTTTTTCGGTAAATTTTACACTTTTCCGCACGTTTTTTTATTTGTAACGACTAACTTGAGTGTTTTCGCATCGATTAAAAAAAAATGTCGATTTTTAAGATGATTCTTAAACATAAATTTTTATTTAAGGAAGCGTAATAAAAGCATGGGATATTGGAGTAGCTACAATGAAAAAAGGAGAAAGAGCAATGTTAACATGCGCCCCACAATACGCGTACGGCGAAGCGGGAAGTCCACCGAACATTCCACCAAATTCCACTTTAAAATTTGACGTGGAAGTACTCAGTTGGAAAGGCGAAGATCTCAGTAAAAATAAAGACGGTGGAATTGAGCGTTTTCTAATCACGGCCGGTGAAGGGCATTCAACTCCGAATGATGAAGCGTTGGTTGATATTCATTTGGTGGGAACTCACGAAGGGCGCGTTTTCGATGAACGCGATGTTTCTTTTTGTCTTGGGGAAGGGTTAAATGTAAACATAGTGGAAGGGGTTGAAAATGCATTAGAAAGCATGAAGAAAGGTGAAAAATCACGGATTATTGTTAAATCAAAGTATGGTTTTGGTTCTAATGGATCTGAAGAGTTTAAAATCCCTCCAGATGCAACTTTGGAATATGTTGTTACTTTAAAAACGTTTGAAAAGGTTTGTTTTGTGTTGCTTAAAAATTTAATTTTTAAAATTATCGAATTGTTAGGCAAAAGAATGTTGGTCCATGGATATTGAAGAAAAAATCGAACAAGCAAAATTATTTAAAGAAAAAGGAACTAATTATTTCAAAGAAGGGAAACTTCAATTGGCTGTTAAAATGTATAAAAAGGTTTTATCCTATCTTGAGTATAAAGAAAAAGGTAATAAATAATTTAAAAAATTATTGGGGATTAATAATGTTGGTAAATTTATTTTAAGATGGTCCTCATGGAGATGAACAAAAATCTTTGTTATTATCAGCAAATTTAAATTTATCTTTGTGTTACTTAAAATTAAATGAGCCATTTGAAGCAAGAAATTCAGCAACATCAGCTTTGGATATAGACGAAAATAACGAAAAAGCTCTCTTTAGAAGAGGGCAAGCTCATCTATCATTAAGTGAGCCTCAATTAGCAGCAAACGATTTCGCAGCTTTGTTAAAAGTGGAACCGAATAATTCAGCAGCTAAATCTCAATTGGCTCAGTGCAATAAAACGCTCAAAGAACAATTGCAAAAAGAGAAGAAAATTTACGCGAATATGTTCGATAAATTTGCTAAAATGGATACACAGGTGAACAATGAATAAGAAAATTAATTAATTAAACAATTAAAAGTGGAAAATATTAAAAAAAAAAACAAAAAAAACTTTTTACTTTGTAGATCTTGCATTTACTTTTTTGTTTAAATAAATATGTATACTGAATAAAGTTTATCTTTTATTATTATGGGGTTTAAATCGAGAAATTGCAGAGGGAAGAGGAAGAAAAACGTAAAGAACCGGATGTGATGTCTTCTCTTGGCGAATGGGGAAAAGAAGATCGAGAAAGGGAACCAACCGAATTTGAGAAGGAGAATCCTAATATTCTTATGTTAAATGGAAGCGGAGAATTCCAAGATATGTAATTTTTATCTTTTAAATTGAAAAAAAAAACATATAAAAAATGTGTTGTATATAACTTTAAAAGATTATAATAAAAACTTGGGGTAAAATGAAACACAAAGTCGTTTTGAGAGTCAATCTAATTAAGCGTTAATTGTTTTTAAATAGTTAATTAAGTAATGTACGTATAATATTTTTTGGAAGGGATTGTACTTAAAAAATAACACCTAAAATTTAAGAAAAACATTAAAAATTATTGCTTACGTCTTAAAAACTAAAAAAAGATTAAGCACCATACGGACATTTTCACAATTAATTAACGTTAATTCTCTCGAGCATATCACAAAAAAGTTATCATTCACGTATTGTTCTTTTTTTATATATCACAAAAACGGGAAATTTGTGGCAGTTTCTGAGCACTTAAAAACTCTTTTAACTTAAAAAAAAAATACTCCATAAACTACTGATTGTCAACGTTTTCCTTAATAATTTCCTTAGTAATATTTGAACTTCCTTCTTCCATATCTATTTCAATATCCTTATTATTGACTAGAACATTAGTTGTTGTCGCTCCACGACAATTAAGACAGAATTGCGATGGCACTGGAGTATATTTTGGACCGGATTGTCCTAAACTTGGCGTCAGTTCATTTGGTGTCGAAGCTCGACTGCAATTTTCATCGTTTGAACTATCATATGAAAACTAAAAATTTACAAATTAAAACAAAAAAATGATACAGATGGTATAATTTACTTGGATTTCGGCTCGAATTTGAGGCAAAGGACTAACACCATTCGTTGTTGATCCATGTCGGACTGATTCCTCTGGGGCGTCCAAAGAAGCAATATCATCTGGGTCTATTTGTAATATGCTTTCTTGACTACCGGAAAACTACCATTGTTTTGGGAAAATACAAAAAGAATTGTATTGATTTATTTGATTTTTTAACGTTATTTGTTACAGAATTAGTTAATAATTAAATTATTAAGTGTAAAATTTATCCAATTCAATTAATACAATTTAAACGTTTGTAATCAATTTTGTTTGTACGCTTCTTGTGTCATTGAGGTTGAGAGTGATGTTACTTCCTTAACTCTTGCAGAAAAATGTTCATTAATGCACTAATAAGTGCAATGTAATTTGGTTTGCAAGAAAAGCATACTCTATAAAATCAAGTAAGGTGGAAATTTCTATTTCAAAGCTCATCATATAACTCATACCAACCTGAAAGCACCTCCAAAAGAAACAACAATATATGAAAGAAACAAACTAGAAGAATTGGAAAACCAGGAAAAAGGGAGGAATATGAAGGAGAAGTTAAGCAGGCTGGAAGAAGTAGAATCAGAAGAATGGTGGAGTCTCAACGATAGATGGAAAAAGTTCAGAGAAACGATAAATAATCAAAACCGTCCAAAATCGAAAGAGAACTAAAAAGTGGAATGGATAGGGTCAACGATAAGATAAAACAGAAGAAGTAGGCCTGGAGGGACGTAGTCAAAAAGTTATAGGGGGCTAAAGTCAAACTAAGACAACCAGCAATAAGAAAAATGATTCTGTAATACTTAAGTAGGACGATTAAATTATTCTAATCGACAAGAAACAACTCAAGGATACTTGATCAGTTGCAAAAAAGCTAAAATAATTAAATGGGATGTTGTCCATAAACTTGAAAGAATTCAAAAATTGCGATTTATTAATGATTTTGGTTCAAAAAGGTTCTAAATGGCTTAAAATATCTTTGTGGCTCGTAAATAGGATGATTAAGTTGAAAAAGGGATTCAACTGGGTTTTGAAAGAGTTTCAAAGATCCCAAAACGTAGAAAAAAATTGTTTTTTTGTGTCAAAATTATTCTAATCGACTAGAAACAACTCAAAGATACTTGAAAAGGTGAATATGAGCTAAAATAATTAAATGGAATGTTGTCCATAAAATTGAAAGAGTTCAAAAAATGGGATTTATTGATGATTTTGGTTCAAAATGGTTCTAAATGGCTTAAAATATCTTTGTGAACCTCAAATAGGATGATTAAATTGAAAAAACGAGTTTTACTGGATTTTGAAAGTATTTCAAAGTTGCCAAAAAGTAGAAAAAGATTGTTATTGTGTGTTAAAATTATTCTAATCGATTAGAAACATCTCTAGGATACTTGATAAGGTGAAAATATCCTAAAATAATTAAATGGGATGTTGTCCATAAACTTCAAAGAATTCAAAAAATGGGATTTTTTGATGATTTTGTTTCAAAATGGTTCCAAATGGCTTAAAATATCTTTCTGACCCAACAATACTGGAGCGTAATCAAGAGGTTAAGAGGGGGCTTAAGTAAAACTAATACGGAACATAAAAGATCAGAATAGAGCACTACATACGACCAGCGATAAGAAAAAGGGTCTTGAAAGTGTTTCAAAGTTGCCAAAAAGTAGAAAAACATTGTTTTTGTGTGTTCAAATTATTCTAATCGACTAGAAACGTATCTAGGATCCTTGATAAGGTGAAAATAAGCTAAAATGATTAAATGGGATGTTGTACATTAACTTGAAAGAATTAAACAAATAGGATTTATTGATGATTTTGGTTCCAACTGGTTCTAAATGACTTAAAATATCTTTGCGAACCTCAAATAGGATGATTAAAATGAAAAACGGGTTTTACTGGGTTTTGAAAGTCTTTTAAAATTGGCAAAAAGTAGAATAAGATTGTTTTTGTGTGTTAAAATTATTCTAATCGACAAGAAACATCTCAAGGATACTTGATAAAGTGAAAATAAGCTAAAATAATTGAATGGGATGTTGTCCATAAACTTGAAAGAATTCAAAAAATGGAATTTTTTGATGATTTTGGTTCAAAATGGTTCTAAACAGCTTAAAATATCTTTATGACCAGTAAATAGCATGATTAAATAAAAAAAAGGGTTTTACTGGATTTTGAAAGTGTTTCAAAGTTGCCAAAAAAAAGTATAGGTGAAAATAAGCTAAAATAATTAAATTGGATGTTGTCCATAAATTTAAAAGAATTAAAAAAATAGGATTAATTGATTATTCCTGGAACATAATCAAGAGGTTAAAGTAAAACTAATACAGAACATAAAAGATTAGAATAACCAGCAATAACATATTAAGAACATGGAAAACCCACTATGAGACAACAGAATAAAGGGGAGGAGAGTTGAGGGGAGGAAGAGCAGATAAGAGAAGAAGTGCGAATAGCCCTAAGCGAAACAGAAAACCGAAAAGCAGCGGATGAAGAAAGTCTAAAAGTAGTACTTTGGCTGAGGAAAATATTCTAGCAGAGATGGAATACTGAGTTAATACCCCACGAATAGGAAAAGAATATAATCGTGCCAATCCATAAGAAGGAGGAAAGAACCAGCTGTGAAAACCATAGAGCAATAGAAAAACGGCTGAGATCCCAGATAGAAGAAAAACTCGAGGAGGAACAAACGGCGTTTCGGCCAAACAGACAAACGCAGGAATAAGGATATATATTTAGCCTTCCTAGACCTAAATGCAACTTTCGATCAGGTACCGAGACAACAATTATATGGGAAGCTTTAAGCGAACCGGGGACAAGTTCAAAAGTAAGAAGAGCAATGAAAAGTGTATTCAGAAGATTGGAAGCTAGTTCAGAATGGAAAAGGGAGTAAAACAAAGTGACAGTTTGAGCCCACTATTCTTTGTAGCATATATGGGCAGAATAATAAAGCAAATCAAAAGACAAACTACGCGGACAATGTTGTACCAATGTCAGGCAGAGTTGCCTAACCTACAAGAAAGGGGAATAGTAATATACAAGAATAATAGTAAGATCCTACACATCACAAAAGAAGAAGAAACGGAAGATATTGACGAAAGAATAGAGGGGCAACAACTGGAAGTGGTAGAAAAGTATGAATATCTTGGAACTCTAATAAGTAAAAATGAAAAGATGGATCAGGAAATACGCAACAGAACAGCAAAAGCAAATGCAGTCTACTATCAAGTAAACAACACCTGTAAAATCATCTGTATACCCACACTTAATTATTGATCAGAAACTTGGACGATGTTGGAGAAGCACAAATCAAAAATAACAGCAGCAGATATGAAGTACTTAGGCAAGATAATGGGGAAAACCAGAAAAGATAGGGTATAGAACAAGAACATCAGGAAAGAATTAAGCTTAAACCCCCTGGTATAGGAAATGGAGGGAAAACAACTAAGTTGGTGAGATTGAGAAGATGGTTGAAAAAAGAGAAGTACAGACTGTGGCCAGAGATAGAAAAATGTATAAAAGATGGATCCAAAACCCAACACTGTAAGGTATAAATAGGGGCAAAAGACAGAAGAAGAATTCTTCAAAAGAAGAAAATTAAATTTGTTATTACTTGACAATTCCAAGAAACACATTTGATGCCATGTTTAATAGTGACTTAATTTTGACACAACCAATTTTGTGATTTGCAATGTTCANAGATAGAAGAAAAACTCGAGGAGGAACAAACGGCGTTTCGGCCAAACAGACAAACGCAGGAATAAGGATATATATTTAGCCTTCCTAGACCTAAATGCAACTTTCGATCAGGTACCGAGACAACAATTATATGGGAAGCTTTAAGCGAACCGGGGACAAGTTCAAAAGTAAGAAGAGCAATGAAAAGTGTATTCAGAAGATTGGAAGCTAGTTCAGAATGGAAAAGGGAGTAAAACAAAGTGACAGTTTGAGCCCACTATTCTTTGTAGCATATATGGGCAGAATAATAAAGCAAATCAAAAGACAAACTACGCGGACAATGTTGTACCAATGTCAGGCAGAGTTGCCTAACCTACAAGAAAGGGGAATAGTAATATACAAGAATAATAGTAAGATCCTACACATCACAAAAGAAGAAGAAACGGAAGATATTGACGAAAGAATAGAGGGGCAACAACTGGAAGTGGTAGAAAAGTATGAATATCTTGGAACTCTAATAAGTAAAAATGAAAAGATGGATCAGGAAATACGCAACAGAACAGCAAAAGCAAATGCAGTCTACTATCAAATAAACAACACCTGTAAAATCATCTGTATACCCACACTTAATTATTGATCAGAAACTTGGACGATGTTGGAGAAGCACAAATCAAAAATAACAGCAGCAGATATGAAGTACCTAGGCAAGATAATGGGGAAAACCAGAAAAGATAGGGTATAGAACAAGAACATCAGGAAAGAACTAAGCTTAAACCCCCTGGTATAGGAAATAGAGGGAAAACAACTAAGTTGGTGAGATTGAGAAGATGGTTGAAAAAAGAGAAGTGCAGACTGTGGCCAGAGATAGAAAGATGGATCCAAAACCCAACACTGTAATGTATAAATAGGGGCAAAAGACAGAAGAAGAATTCTTCAAAAGAAGAAAATTAAACTTGTTATTACTTGACAATTCCAAGAAACACATTTCATGCCATGTAGTTTAATAGTGACTTAATTTTGACACAACCAATTTTGTGATTTGCAATGTTCAAACTACTCCCTTGAAACATTTATTGTTTCCAGACTATTTCCTCGACTCTTTTCGCGCCTTTAATTTAATATTAATAAGATTTAATTGAATTAAAAAGAAAATAATTATTACACTTAATAATTCAATTAAGATAAAATAATAACAATCGTTAGTTTATTAAAACTACAAAGAAAACTACCAATTAAATAATAACGGAACAAAAAGTAACAAAATAAAAATTAACGAAGCAAGAATTAACACAAAAGATTAAAAAAGGTTTGATAAAAAAATCGTTCGTTTTATTATTTTTCTTTTAAATATTATTACTTCTCTAAAAAAAGTGTTCAATAGTATTAGTATAGTGTCTTAATAAAGGTTCGGTTAAGGTTTTTCACTAACCACAAATCCGTAGCGCTTCAAAATATCCATTTTGCACATCGGGCATGTTCGATGTTCCAAAAGCCATGGATCGATACATCCTTTATGAAATTCGTGACTATAAAATAAACAAAAAATAAATTTTATATAATAAATGTAACAATAAAAAGAACTTACGAACATGGAAGTATTCGTAAAATTTCACAGCTTTTATATGGCTCGATACAAACGGCACAACATTCTCCTTCCTTTACTTCTTTATCTTCGCATTTAATGGTCTTTGTGGGGATTTTGGATAAAGCTTTTTTAGCTGCGCTCGATAAACGCTTCTAAATAAAAAAGAAATGATTAAAAATAACTCTCCAATACTTAAATAGGACGAAAAATTGAAAAAATATTTGTATGGCTCTTGAAAGTGTTTCAAAGTTGCTAAAAAATAAAAAAAAGGTGACTGGTGTGTGTCGAAATGGTTCTAATCTCGAAAAAACATCTTGAGGATACTTGACAAAGAAAAAATAATTTAAAATAATTAAATGGGATGTTGTCCATAAAGTTGAAAGAATTCAAAAAATGGGATTTATTGATGATTTTGGTTCAAAATATCTCTGGGAACCTTAAATAGGATGATTAAATTGAAAAAAGGGCTCTACTGGGTTTTGGAAGTGTTTTAAAGTTGTCAAAAAGCAAAAAAAGATTGTTTTTGTGTGTCAAAATTATTCTAATCGACAAGAAACATCTCAAGGATACTTGATAAGTTGAAAATAAGCTCATATAATGAAATGGGATGTTGCCCATAAGCATAAAAGAGTTAAAAAAAATGGATTTATTGATGATTTTGGTTCAAAATATCTCTGGGAACTTTAAATAGGATGATTAAATCGAAAAAAAGGGTTCTACTGGGTTTTGGAAGTGTTTTAAAGTTGTCAAAAAGCAAAAAAAGATTGTTTTTGTGTGTCAAAAGTATTCTAATCGACAAGAAACATCTCAAGGATACTTGATATGGTGAAAATAAGCTCAAATAATGAAATGGGATGTTGCCCATAAGCATAAAAGAGTTAAAAAAAACTGGATTTATTGATGATTTTGGTTCAAATCGGTTGTAAATGGCTTAAAATATCTCTGTGAACCTTAAAGAGGATGATTAAATCGAAAAAAAGGGTTCTACTTGGTTTTGGAAGTGTTTTAAAGTTGTCAAAAAGCAAAAAAAGATTGTTTTTGTGTGTCAAAATTATTCTAATCGACAAGAAACATCTCAAGGATGCTTGATAAGGTGAAAATAAGGTCAAATAATGAAATGGGATGTTGCCCATAAGCATAAAAGAGTTAAAAAAAATTGGATTTATTGATGATTTTGGCTCAAAACAGTTCTAAATGGCTTAAAATAACTCTGTGAACCTTAAATAGGATGCTTAAATTGAAAAAAAGGGTTGTACTGGGTTTTGGAAGTGTTTTAAAGTTGTCAAAAAGCAAAAAAAGATTGTTTTTGTGTGTCAAAATTATTCTAATCGACAAGAAACATATCTAGGATACTTGATAAGGTGAAAATAAGCTCAAATAATGAAATGGGATGTTGCCCATAAGCATAAAAGAATTAAAAAAATTTGATTTATTGATGATTTTGGTTCAAAATGGTTCTAAATGGCTTAAAATATCTCTGTGAACCTTAAATAGGATGCTTAAATTGAAAAAAGGGTTCTACTGGGTTATAGAAGTGTTTTAAAGTTGTCCAAAAGCAAAAAAAGATTGTTTTTGTATGTCAAAATTATTCTAATCGACAAGAAACATCTCAAGGATACTTGATATGGTGAAAATAAGCTCAAATAATGAAATGGGATGTTGCCCATAAGCATAAGAGTTAAAAAAATTGGATTTATTGATGATTTTGGTTCAAATCGGTTCTAAATGGCTTAAAATATCTCTGTGAACCATAAATAGGATGACTGGGTTTTGGGAGTGTTTCAAAAGTTGTCAAAAAGCAAAAAAAGATTGTTTTTGTGTGTCAAAATTATTCTAATCGACAAGAAACATCTCAAGGATACTTGATAAGGTGAAAATAAGCTCAAATAATGAAATGGGATGTTGCCCATAAGCATAAAAGAATTAAAAAAATTTGATTTATTGATGATTCTGGTTCAAATCGGTTCTAAATGGCTTAAAATATCTCTGTGACTCTTAACAAGGATGATTTTTTTATATAACGGTGTTTTGGTTATAACCCCTTTCCCCGTATTAATCCGTTACATCAAAGTTTTACTGTATATTTAAAGGTTAAATAGAAAACACACTTAGTGGTAAACAAATGGGATTATTTTTGATCTTGTTTGAGGTAAATTGGAGATAAAAAGAATCTTGTTAAATTAGAAACCTTAAAAATTTTCTTTTTAGTGAATTGTACCATAAAAAAAGTAAATAAAATATGTGTCCCCCATATGGCTTGGTAAACACGGGTATCATCATAAAAATAACGACGGCATTGCGCTAAAAATAACTCATCGTTCGCGGTCCTCGCGACAAGAGAGACAATCAACTACAATTACATTAACTCCTTTTTGCTTTTTTCTAAGAACTCGAATAATGTATCTCTATGATTCACTCTGATTCGCAAAATTTTCAACCTTAATTTATTACTTAATTATTAATATAATTTATGACATAATTATTGATATAATTTTTGTCAAAATTTTAATTAATCAAAAAAGTGATTTTTTTAAATAATAAAATAATTGATTCACTTACGGACAATTTATCTTTGGCGTGGATATGTCTGAAACGTTGGACGTAATAAAAGATGAGCCAGGCCAAAGAGATGATCATAAGTACGATAAAAGTCGTCGAAACGAAGAGGACGGAAGTGCTGTAAGGTAAAAAACACCAAGTGAGCGGCGAGCAAATCACTTGTAATAACATTTGAGAAGATTTCTAGATTATTTTCGTTAAAAAAATTATTTAAGTAAATAGTTTTTACAAAAAAAAATATTGGTTTGCTATTTATAAAATTATAATAAAATTTATAGTTAATAAAATTATTTTCTATGACCATGGTAACATAAAGATTATTGTAGATATCCCAATAAATAATTTATTAATGTTTTTATTGCCTTAGAAAACATTTGCAAATTATTAAATATAGTATTGCGTAGTATGTAGAACATTTTCCAGATGAAAGTTTCACTGTGGTTTTGTTTATATTTTATGGATCCTTTTAAGTCTGTACGGAAGCAGTTGTTGGGAGTGTTTATTTTATGTAAATCTCTCTTGGTGTTTTCCTTATTGAGTGTTGTATTTAAAAATCTATTTATGTAATACGCATTCTTATAGGAATATTGTTTCATCATCATCATTGGTTCTACAACCCTGGAAGGATCTTGACCTGCTTAAGGATTTTTTTCCATTCCTCTATATTATAGGCCTCCGCTCTCGAATTTCTCATTTCGTCTTTGGCCTACCTCTGTTGTTTCGTTGGTTTCACCTCCTTCATTCATTCCATATGTGCTATTCCAATTTTTATACTTGTCATATATCCAGTTCCTTATATTCTTGATACAGTTCATGGTTAAATTAACACATCTGCACCACTGTCCCTCTGTTCTTGGATTCCTTCATATACGTGTCTAAGTATCTTCCTTTCAAATGTTCCCAGCAATCTTTCATCAGCTTGTATCATTACCATTACCCAGGTCTCCAAACCATACATTATCAATGGTCTAATGAGTGTAATATTTATTTTTATACTATTCATATTAAACAATGGCACAATAAGATCAAAAAAAATTAAGTAAAATTGAAAATTCATAACCTTTCAATAAAAATGTCAAAATTTTGATTTTGAGGTTAGAATACTATATTAGCTAAAAAGTAGCTAAGTACCAGCACTAAATATACAACTTTAGTTGATAAATTGTCGTGTTATGACATTTATTTAAAGAGATACTATATTTATAAAATGATTTTGTATAAAGGCTCTTATAATCATTTGCTTTATACAATTATACCATAAACGTAGATGTAACCATAACCTAAAATTTTATTTTGACGTTTAACAAAATTATTTTAAATAAACATTTAAAATATTTTTCATTTTTAAACATTTTATTAATGATGGTATTTTGTTATAACGCGATTAACTAAACACGTTGTTAAAAAATTAGAAATTAATTACGCGAAATTATTAAGTAATAAATTTAAATGTCAATAAACCAACAGCATGACGTTTGTCAATCAATGGAACTAAAGCAATGTTGTAAATTGGTGATATAAATGATATTAATTCAAAATAAAGTTATTAATTATAAATATTAATAGCTCGTCGTATTAGCCGAAAAGCCCTAAAATTATGAAAAATTTTTGTTATTTCACCGTCTTTTTTTCCATAATACTTGTCAAGGTTAAATTTTTTGAGTTTCTGTTGGTATTATCTAGGGTCCCTATAAAATTAAGATTTTTTTATTAACTAGATAATTGATATTAAAAAAATTCTTTTTGTTTATATCTTAATTATTTGCGTATAAATACAAAACTAAAAATTGAATTTGTCTTTAAATAACGAGGCGTTCAAATGTCAATGTGAAAAATTGATTTCAAAACGTCAATTGTTACCAACTGTTCCAACTTTTCAATAATTTGACAAGTATAGAAAAAAAACTGAGTGTACCTATACTCTGTTTTTAAACCAGGAGGAGTATTTTAAATTTGTCACCAGATTGACCTTGCACGTGATTGGTTGAATGCGAGGAAGGTTCACACACAGGCAATTTTGAATTTTGATTTTGAATTTGAAGGTTAGGTAATTGATAATTCGACAGTTTCGTGTCATTATTGTATATTTTGTGTTCTTAAACCCTTTTTTATTATATTTTGAAATAAATACACTCATAACTTCAATGTTAATTTGTATGTATAGTGTTGACGATAACAAACGAAAATAAATACAATAATAAGTAAATAAATAAATAATAATTATTAATTTAAATTTACCGCCAAAATATCTAGTGATATTTTCTGGTGATTTTTCCTAGTGTAAATCTAACTTTCGCGTTTACTCCTCCTGGTTTAAAAACAGAGTATAGTTATCCTTTCTTTCAGGTGTAATGAAACGAATAGTCATGATGAGACATGGGACAGGCAATAAACAAAAGAAAGAAAGTATTGGAGACATGTATAGGGACCAAAACACGTTCATATCATGCGTTCATATGGTTTCATAGGTACACAATTTACATACAGTGGTACAATAAAGTCTACATACACCCCAGAAAATCATAAAATCTCAACTCCTGAAACATAATTCAATGAAATTTTTAAACGAAGGATATTAGAAGTGTATATTATTATAATATTTTACATAAAAATGTATAACTTATTATTTATAATGAAAAACACAAAACATAATCATATTTTTATCACAAAAAAGTCTACATACAGCTATAACACGGCTCTATTTTTTATTTGAAACGAAAAGAAATACCTTACGCAGTGCGAAATATCATAATTCAAAATCATAATAATGGTCGTTCATTAAGTGAAATCGCAAAAATAGTTAGTAAAAGTCGCTCTTCGGTCCAGACAGTAATTCGAAATTATAAGGAACGTCAGTCAATCGAAAATAAACCAAGAAGTGGCCGGTCACGTAAACTGACACCTAGAGATAAGCGGTCAATTTAAAAAACGATCAACGATCAGCCGACAACAACTGCGGTTGAAATAGCCAAATCATTCGCGGCATCAAGGTCTATAACCATAAATCCGGAAACAATTAGATTGGTGTTACGAAGTGAAGGCTGTAACAGTAGAGTTCCAAGAGAAAAGCCGTTTATATCGGAAATAAATGCGAAAAAAAGAGTCGATTTTGCTAAATTACATGAGCAAAAGAATACTACTTTTTGACGTACCGTTGTATTTTGGGACGAAAGCAAGTTCAATATTTTCGTTTTTCAAGAAATGAAAAAGAAAAACTTGAAAGCCACAGTAAAGCATGGCGGAGGAAATGTAATGGTATGGGGTTGTACGTCGGGGGCTGGTGTAGGAAGTTTAGTATTTGTTGAAACAATTATGGACCGCTATGTATATCTGAACATATTGCGAACTAATTTAAAGGATTCGGTTAATAAATTAGGCTTGGGAACAGATTGGATATTCCAACATGACAATGATCCCAAGCACACATTGTGAAGGAATGGGTATTATATAACGTCCCTAAACAACTACACTCACCACTGAGATATTATGATTTTCTGGGGTGTTGTGCTACTGTAGTTTACACAAACACTTTTTGACAACATTATATGTGAAATGTGCCAAACAAGAGTTATCTACATCATGCTCGTTTTAAATCTTGGCCTGCCTTAGCAATTCCTTCCAAACTTGTTAATCCCGCGTTTGTAGTCTCCAACCCCAGACCTTCAGTCTTCTTAGGTCGTCCTCCACATCGTCCAGAAATCGTCTCATCCATTATCCTCTTCTTTATTTCTTCGCTGACCACATTTTTATTAGTTATGAGGGATCTCAAATATATGAAGCGCTAATCGTCTCTATCTTGTCATCTCCAGTCTTTGCCACAATATACTTAATCTTAATGTAGTCGTACACCTTCGTGGCATTCAAATGTTCTGGGGAGATCTCCTTGTGTTCTTACTTGAAAGGAACCTTCCTGAGAATGGTAGCCCACGGAGCCATAGTTTAGTGTTCAACATTAAGGGAATCCATTTTTGGCGTACCATGGCCCGAAATTTCGGACATAAAGAAGATTCTGTTCTATATTAATATTCAATAAAACCTTGGAATAGTTTTCTGACCCCTGAATTAACTGTGCATTGTGGGAAACTGTAAATTACTACCAGATGAAAAGGTATATTGACCTGCGACATGTTTTTATTTTAATCAATTTTGTTAGAAATATGCGGATTCAGTAAGTACCACAGGAACAGAACCGTACAAGCACGCATCCGGCTCGGTTCTGAAACGGTTAGAAAGCTCAAGAGTTTAGAGTCAATACTCAAAAAATGTTAAAAAATGTTTTAATAGACGCACGGTATAATTCAAAAGATTCCAGTTTTAATTTTATCTCTAATATAATTCTTGTAATTATAGTTCAATAAACGTTTTAGCTTTATTCCCGTAAAATACTAACAAAATCGACCCCAATTAACCAACAATTATGTCAAGAACCAGAATAGAATGTATAAAGTTTATTTCGGATTTAACGACGAGAACTAACTTGACCTAACAAACTGGATATAAACTCAATCTTTTTTATTAACGTTAACCCATTTATATTAATATATTGTACATGAATACTTTTCGTGGCAGTAAATGCAAATTTTTATTACAAATTTTATCGTAATCTTAATCATCTCCCAAACAAAATTGCAGCTTCATGACGTAATTTTCTATAAATAAGGTTTGAATACAAAATCGGCATTGTTTTTGGCACTTAACTATTTTTTTGATAGATCATTATAATCAATTAATTTTTTTTATTATCACAATAAGTACAACAATTAATTGTGTTAATTTTTAAGTTAAAACTTAAAAAATTAAATTTTCTAATAAAATATTGAAATAACGATGAGACAAAAATTTAAAAAAAATAATAAAAATGTAAACATACTCGAGACGACCTCAATATTGATTATTGATCTTTTTAGTATTAATAATAGTTTATCTTATCTATATCCGTGTTAATTAATAAAAGTGGATAAAGGGTCGAACCAATATCAAGGAAGTTTATTTTTGGAAAAAAAATTTAATTAAATTACTCTCGTACATCACCCACTCATCAATTCTAATTAACAATTAAAAGGGTTTATAATTAAATTGTTTCCGTAAACACATCTTTTTGGTTTTTACATCTTTCAATTTTTTAACGATCGATTAATATTACACTGTCTCGGTGGTAAAAACACGCAAAACGGAAAAACGTCACGCGATCGTTTACATTATACCAGCATAAAACATACTACATTTAATAAAAACACGTTGTTAAAACTAACTAGAATTACATTTTTCTTTATTACATAATAATAATCTAAATACTGCGAAATATAACCTCGCCCATTTTTCATGTAGTATCTGTGGCATCAACTTAATTAGCGCGGCATTGAAATTCTTCGTTACCAGGTCCGGATTAACTTATATTTATTATATCAATTAAAATTCCTGACGATGGCTCACGCTTAAATCGAAACCGGTACCACTTTATTCGTTATTGTTATCTCTAACATTTAAATTTTGTTAAATGTGGCCATCAAATCCGGTTCTACTGTTAACATTATTTTATTAATGCCAATTCTCATTAAATATAAAATGTAAACTTTGTACGAACGTGTTTACGTTTTGTTAAAGACGTTTATTGACGTCCACCTATGATAATTAAACCAAGATTAAATTAAATGCAAACGATCTTTTAAATAACAATTTAAAGAAATTTTTCTGCATATTTGTCTTTTTAAAAAGAAGAAAGTTTGTTCCGTTTAAACAGATGGTGCTGATGTCGGAATACGTTTCCGCCTTGTTACCTTTGGACACACAAGTAAATTGCGCAACTATTAAAACTACGTAATAAATCGAGACTCGGGTGAAAGTGACTAAGAAAAGGTTTCTGTATTTGTATTACAAATACGTTTGTTTACACCCTTTTTTGTCTTGCTAATACGGTTTTTTAATATTCGTTATGGTCCGAACTGACCTTGTTCAATACATTTAATACACGTTTAAGAACGAAAAAATTTTTTTAATTCCATAAAATTATTTCAATTTCAAAATTAAAGTTTTCTTTTTTATCTTACCGATTGATGGCGCCGTTTCTTAAAGGTTGTGTGCTCCCCACTGTGATATGAACGTAAACTTGTGAGTTATTTTCTAAATAACTGGCCATTTGTTCACCTTTCCACTTGAAAGTGAAGATTGCACTTATATTTTCTGAAAATAGATAAAAATTGTAAATAATCTTAAAAAATTCAAAGAAATTATGTAAATAACAAGATCAACATTTAAACACGTTATCACTTGCCAAGTCTTTATATATTATCTCGAAAATAAATATATTTTCATTCTTTTTATCTTCGTAAATAATGTTATTTTAAAATTAACGTAATGTAATCGAAAATGTATTTGGTTCTTCACCGTTATAACACTATATTGCATGGGTGATACAAGAACAACAGCTTTCCCTTGTATAATACAACGTAATAGTTGTAATTGAATAAAATTAAAAGTAACTTGTTAAAAAGGTAAATCATTTAACTCGGATCCACCAAATTGATGATAGGAATTTCTAATCGACAAATTAAACATTTACATTGCCCCTCATTTATATGTGGACGTTATTAAATCTACTGTAGAAAATCAAATAACTTGTTTCAACGCTTGAACTTAGGCGGTTTTAATACTAATAAAATTAGTTATGATGGTAATTATAATTGGTCGAGTGGTACAAAAAACGTACCTAAGTGAAATTTTGAATCGTTCATCAAAGACTATATTCTCAAAGTTAATTGGTATGGATGGCACTAAGCTAGAAATAATAATAAATGAATCTTCAAGTGACGACTTAAACATTCAGTTAATGGTACTCAGAGTTAACCAAATCTACCAATAAACAAAGTTGAATGATTTGTTAGATGTAAAAGTGGAGGAAAACGAAAAATGCATAATTTTGCTACCGATACCTTAGAAAAGTTAGTATCATAATAACTCTTCTCTCTTCATTAACCTGTGATCATCCACTTCTAAACATAGGTCTCTTTCATTTTCTTGAACGTCTCCTTATTATTTTGGCGCTTGGAACTACGCGTCCAGTGAAACGCAAACACAGGATGAAAGAATGGTTAAAGAAGAGAGATGAATATTCTCATCTAGTACTGTTGAAAGAAATCAGTCTCTGCGATGTTGATGATTTCAAAAACTACTTTCGAATGGATGAAACAAACTGTTACAGTTGGTTGAACCATTTTTGAAAAGAAAGGATAGCAATATGAGAGGAAGTATAAGTGTTAGGGAAAGATTAGCCTTAACCCTGAGGTTTTCTGTCATAATCCCCAGCAACTAACACCAAAGCTGTAATAGAATCCTGTGAAACCTTTATATGTATATGTTCTACAAGACTACATGGAGATAGTTTGTATTTCTCGATGAAATTACGAAGAGCATGTTGTTCATCATCATGGGAATTGGATGAACCAACACTATCTCTATTCTTAACAGACGCGCTACTTGAACTAAACTGAGTGAAATGTAGAAAATCAGAATTAAACCTGTTTTCAAATCATCTGGAGTAAAGTAACATGTTTTTTCAGTGTGTTGATAGACATGTTTTGTTATTGCTACAATTAAATAGAAGTATTTCATTTTGAATGTTGAATTTACTGAGTATTGATGGAAATATTGGCGCCAACCCTACACGGTCAATAGTATTGTCAATATCCCCTCCAATTTTTAGTATCGATGCCCAAAAATTAGAAAATCCGGATTTTTATCAATATTTACCGACAATAAAATTTTTCACCTTACACCGTCAACATTATTGTCAATATGCTAAGGTATTGTCATATATTATACAACAAGACGATCGAAAATACTCGATAATACGAGACGTATTGCCTGAAACACCACGAGACCGAAGATCGAGTGGTGTTTTTTAAGGCAATACGTCGAGATTCGTGTATTTTCGATTGTCGTGTTGTATATGGCTAGACTATTTCATGAATAAAAAATATACATATTTTTAGAATTTTTATATTTTTTAATAAATTACATTGATTGTTATGGAAACATGCATGGATGTCTCGAAATTAATTAAATGTCAAACAAGCGATAATACAAAGGTTCGTATTATAGCGATAATACAAAGGTTCGTATTATCGTTCTCCATGGTTACGGCCAAATAACCGCTGAAATACTCGTAATTGACGGAAAACCGCGAATTCTTATTGGCTGTTAACGATATGAATGAAATAGTCAATATTATTGATCGTATAAGGGCCGCTTTAGCCAAACTGTTACTCAATATGCCCACCTTACCACATTCCCAGCCCATTGCCATTTCATCTTAGCTATTTCAGTTATATCAGTAACCTTTATTTGTCTCCTGATGTTTTCGTTTCTTATTTTATCGCATAGTGAGATGCGTAGCATGCATCACTCCATATATCTTTGAATTATTAAGAGTTTTTTTGGTTTTCATCATAGTTTTGTTAGACTGGTTATTTCCAGTCCGTTTGTTGAGTCTGTTGATCGTTTCTTAGAATGTTTTTCAGGTTGCCAAAAGCTACCCCAGTGTAGTATTATACAGGGTGATGTATAACATACGGAGCAGACTAAAAGGGTAGGTACTAGGAGCCAAATTGAAGATATTTTTCTAATAAAATTTTGACCACAACTTAATATTCACAAAGATACAGAACGTTAAAGTTGAAGTAATGGCCGAGCATTTCTTACCATATACGGTATTACACTACGCTTAAATTCAAACTGCGAATATTTCGGGGTTACTTAAACAATGCATAATTAATAAAATTTGTTAAAACGCTCAAACGGTGGTGTTTGTTTATTGAGAACCGCTGATACCATGTTTTTATTGCTGCCAATCCAGTTGATTTGGTTACTTAGCAACGGACAAGTATTTTAATTATTCTTTACTGAATATCAGCGGTTCTCAAAAACGGACGTTAAATTATTTAAAAAATTAACATGTGATATCTATGTAACTATTAAGTTTTTAACAAAACATTATTAAGAAAATCTCTTCAGTTTTACCTCCAGTACCTACTCACGCTCCGTATGTTATAAATCACCCTGTATACCTACATAAATATATGTGTGTCGTTGTGGTCGATCCGAGATTTCATTCGTTCTTTGGTTCCCTTTGGAAAAGAACAGACGTTTCGCCAAGATCTCACCTGGTATCTTCATCTTCATGTTCTATTCCCGCAGATGCCAGATTTAATTCATTTAACATTTCGTCTAGTTCTGTAACGTTATTACCTATTAGGAGTATATTAGTGGTGGAACGGATATCCAGCCATTACTTAAAATCCGGCCGGATACCGGATAGTTACCAAATATCCGGCTTTGGCCAGATATTAAAAACCTATTACTTAGTACTACACCATTCACAGGAATTAGTATCTCTTTTAGGTGTTGGACACTGCAGATAATAATCAAGTTCAACCCCAATAGGACTTTCAATAGCACTTTTGATTATTAATTAAAGTATGCTTTTTTTAATGCAACAAGCCGCTTTGAAAAATTGCTTTTAGTTTTTGAGATGATCGACAATTTTTTCGAATTTTGCCATTTCAGCCGATTATGTTTTAAAAATTCGTATAAAATCCATTTCTTGGAATATGAGTGTGAAAATTTCCCAAAGTGTTAATAAGAGTGTCCTCTTTCCAATAAACCAACACGTTTTGAAAAACAACTTTTAGTTTTTGAGAAAACAATATTTGAAGTTTTGATAAAATTTTCGGTGTTGCAATTTTCATCGATAACTTTCAAAATTCGCTATAAAATTAATTTCATAAAGGATCCTTGTGGAAATATCACCAATTATTAATTATAGTATCCTCTTTTTAATGCAACAAGCCGTTTTGAAAAATCGCTTTTAGTTTTTGAGAAAAAAATTTTTTAAATGATCGACAATTTTATCGCATCTCGCAATTTTCGCCGATTATGTTTTAAAAATTCGTATAAAATCCATTTCTTGGAATACGAGTTTGAAAATTTCTCTAAGTGTTAATAAGAGTGTCCTCTTTCTAATAAACCAACACGTTTTGAAAAACAACTTTTAGTTTTTGAGAAAACAATATTTGAAATTTTGATAAAATTTTTGATGTTGCAATTTTCATCGATAACTTTCAAAATTCGCTATAAAATTAATTTCTTGAAGAATCCTTGTGGAAATATCACCAATTATTAACTATAGCATCCTCTTTTTAGAGTTGCTTCTTTAGTTAAATCAGCATCAAAAAAGTTCATTTTGTATCTTGGATCCACTTCAGAAATGCACCAGAAATTGTAATCAGAATGGCCGGATAGATATGCCGAATATCCGGTTATTCGCAAAATCATTATCCGTTCCATCACTAGAGTATATCATCTGCAAATATGAGGTGATTCAATCTTACACAATTTATGTTATTTTCTTTTCTGATTTTTATATACACTTATCCAGCTAATCTTGTTACTTCGATTGTGTTTGTATAGACATTTATCTTCTATTTTGCTGATTTCANGCACTAAGCTAGAAATAATAATAAATGAATCTTCAAGTGACGACTTAAACATTCAGTTAATGGTACTCAGAGTTAACCAAATCTACCAATAAACAAAGTTGAATGATTTGTTAGATGTAAAAGTGGAGGAAAACGAAAAATGCATAATTTTGCCGATACCTTAGAAAAGTTAGTATGATAATAACTCTTCTCTCTTCATTAACCTGTGATCATCCACTTCTGAACATAGGTCTCTTTCATCCTCTTGAACGTCTCCCTATTATTTTGGCGCTTGGAACTACGCGTCCAACGAAACGCAAACACAGGATGAAAGAATGGTTAAAGAAGAGAGATGAATATTCTCATCTAGTACTGTTGAAAGAAATCAGTTTCTGGGATGTTGATGATTTCAAAAACTACTTTCGAATGGATGAAACAAACTGTTACAGATGGTTGAATCATTTTTGAAAATACAGGATAGCAATATGAGAGGAAGTATAAGTGTTAGGGAAAGATTAGCCTTAACTCTGAGGTTTTCTGTCATAATGTCCCCAGCACCTAACAGCAAAGCTGTAATAGAATCCCGTGAAACTTTTATATGTATATGTTCTATAAGACCACATGGAGATAGTTTGTATTTCTCGATGAAATTACGAAGAGCATGTTGTTCATCATCATGGGAATTGGATGAACCAACACTATCTCTAT